TGTGGTGTATCCACTCAAAGCTGTTATAATCTCAACACAATAAGATTATATTATGTTTTTTTAAAGATGTGTTTAATGCTAAAAATTCTGCTGCAACTGCAGCAGCAATGTGCGAAAAAGGCATGCTATGTTGGGCCTATTTTTTATCATAAATTTCAATGTGATCATATCATGAGATTTATGTGAACATTCCTTAAGTTGTGCTGAGTAATTCACACAAATAAGCAGCAAGATTTGGTCGAGAATATGATCAAATGTTGCTTGATCTACTGCTGCAACAGCAGGAGCATTCACCTGAGAAGAACACTACTTCAGAAATCTCAGATGATGATCATATGCCATTCTTTTAATATGATGTTGTATGAAGCATGCAAACCTAAATATTTGTGATATATTAAGTGCCATTCTTTCAACATAGAGAATGTGCAAAAGATGGCAAGAGAAACAGATGGGTACTTCATGAAGAGTGGAATTAGCCCCTAGTTTCTTTCCTTTTGAGTATCCGAAAAGATTTGATCCGTGTGATTTGTTTATCATTTAAAGCTTGCAGTATATCAAAAAGCGCTGAGCGGGTCGTAGGTGGCCTGGGGGGTCCAGACCGCCTAGTGCCTACGTGGCCGCCTAGGCGGGTGCCCAGAACCAGGGCGGGTGCCCAGAACCAGGGCGGCTGCCCAGTTGAAAAAACAGTAAAGATGCCAATATACCATATTTCAAGTTGAAAAAAAAAGAAAAATGATAGAAGTCGAGAAGAGAATTTTGATAATCCATATTGTTAAAACAATAAACCGTAAAACCATACAAGTGTAGGATATAAAAGTCAGCGCACGACGCAACATAAATATATAGAAATTTAGAAAATATACAGTCTACACTCATGACTCAACACAACAGTCAACAGACTCAACACTAAGTAGTTAGCACCAAGAGGCAAGAGTCTTCAGTCATCATCATCATCATCATCAGAAGGAATATCAATAGGGCGAGCCTCATCATATGCATAAGAGTTGAGGTCATCATCATCAGAATCATCTCCCTCTTCAATATCACGTTTGTCGTCTTTTGTTTCTTCTGAATCTGCCTCTTCCTTCTCCTCTTCTTCTACCTTCCTCTTACTAGTATGTGCAGTCTGTGCAGATGATGCCTTAGGAGTTTTGGCTGCTCTACTTTTTTTTTTGTGCTTCTCTGAACTCAAATATTGTATAATTTCCTCCTTGGTAGCCTCAGGAACATTTTTACATGGGGCAACATCCCCCGTCATACCGGCAAGGTGTTTTTTAAACCGGTAAATGCCCCCCATTAGTATCCTTTCCACAATAATTACATTTAATACGATTTTTATCACTTGGATTCGCGTTATAACCATACTTCCAACCTGGATCACCACTCCGACTAGAAACTGGAGAAGATACTTCCATAGAACAAGGCTTATTTTCATCATTTTTTGGTTCTTCAAAATTCAGAAGATGTCTAATCTCATCTCGAACTGCTTCAGGAACCTTTGTACAAGAAGCAGCATTACCTCTAACATCAACAAGGTGTTTTTTGAATCGGCTAATACCCCCATTGGTATGTTTTTCACAAAAATTACACCTTATACAATTTTTATCATTTGGTTTTGGATTGTACCGATACTTCCAACCCGGATCACTTTTTCTAGGAGTTGCAGAAATAGATCTATGGCAAGGATTTTGTCTTGTTTTTGTTTTTCATAACTTAAAAATTGCTTAATTTCCTCCTTGAGATAGCTTTAGGAACATTTTTCAAGGGGCAACATCTCCCTTAATACCGGCAAGATGTTTCTTAAACCGGTTTATGCCTCATTTTGTATCTTTTTCACAAAAATTATATCCAACGTAATTTTTGTCATTTGGATTCGGATTGTGTACGTATTTCCAACCCGTATCTCCACTCCGACTACCTCCTGAAGAAGACATCTCAAAATGAAACAAGCAATCTAAAAAATGCACTTACTAGCAATCTAAAAAATGCACTTACTTTGGTTGCTTGAACTCCAAACTTTGAGAAATATTTCGATGATTTGATCTAATGAAATGTAGTTTTTGGAGGTTTCTATTACTCTAAAAGGGGTTTTGGCAAAAAAAATGAAAAAAAAAAAACAAGTTTTCCGCCTTTGGGCGGTGCGCAGGCCCTGGGCAGCCGCCCAGGGCTAGGCCTTGGGCAGCTGCCTAGGCGGATTCCGTACCGCCTAGGGACCACAGCCCAGTTTGGCCGCCTAGGCCTGGGCGATGCGCCCAGGCCTTATGGACCGCCTAGGAGCTGGGTGGTCCGCTTTTTAAACCAATGACAATTTGTCTTTTTTTTGGGAAATCATTTTTATTGGACATATACTGATGTGTAATGATTGGCTTATGAAATGAAGAACCAATATGAAGTGAAGAACCAAATTAGTTAAAATGAACAACCAAATTGGTTTAATAACAAATTGGCAAAATGGCTTTTATTCATTTCTCCTTTTTTTGTTTGTGTATGTGGGGTGTGAACGAGGCCATTCGAATCTGTCCCATCATCATGGTTATGCTCATCATTCGATTCAAACTAACAAGTTAATGGTGGCAGTTATTACGATTATCAACTATCTATTCTCTTTTCCTTAAAAAAATTTAAAGAAAATCAAACCTATCATTATTTCAATGGAATAAGTATATAAAGGCCATATCACGAAAGCTCGTAATAGCCATCCTTTTTGGGAGAGGGAGAGGGATAGCACAACGGACTCCTTATACCCTTCATATGAGATATACATTTTGTTGGACATGTTGAATATTAGGAAGGTCTTAAATGTGGCCTTCATAGATGACTTACTGGCCTCATATCACTATAAAATTAACTAATGATTAAAACTGGCTTATTCACGTCTCTCCAAAAGCCAAACATTACAGGGTCAATCAAACACAGGTACTCAGAACTTCCTCAATATTCTAGCAAGTAATCAAATGTAGGTACCCAAAACTTCCTTAACATTCAAGCAGGTTATCAAACACAGGTACCCAGAACTTCTTTAAACCTTCTAGAAGATAACATTTGACTCTAGTTAACTGTCACTTAAAAAAATGATAACATTCCACTTTTCAGCAAAGAAGAACTTCGTGTTTCCAGGGAACGTTTATCTTCCAGCAAACAAACACACCCTAAGGGAGATAATTTGGAAGATCCATAATGGTATTCCAAAAGAAAAGCGTGCACCCCCAAGTGAAGAAGGTGAAAGATTAATATATGAAAGATGGGGAATACGAATTCTGCAATTGACATTGAGTTTAATAGAGTAAACGTAAAGTCCAAATGCATATAGAAAGATAGAGATATAAATATTATATCACACAAAAGGTCTATCTCATCTCTTGTCTTGCATATTGACATGAGTGGGGCATGCACAAAATCTCACTTGCGTAGCCAAAAACAAGAAAAAAGGAGAAAAGGCATTTGAGTCTATTCTGTTAACAATAAATACGATAAAAAATTACAACCCCTAAACCCTAAATTAAAATCCAAAGGGAAACCCAAAGCTGTTCTAGCTCTTGCATTATTTTTATTTACATATATACATATATTATTTTCCTGACATAATTTTCTTGTAGACTTATTACATGAAATTTTTATCTCATGTACGTAGAGGATGATTAGAAAAAGGGAAATATGTAGATACTGCCAATATCCTGTTTGTAAGTTATTGTGCATCAGAATTTCCTATTTATGTCGGAGAACTTATACCTGTTTCTATTTTCTGTTATTACCAATTTTACTCTTGATTTGGACTTCAATACACCAGAATTAGGAGGTCATTTATAAGTTAAACACTCAAAGCAAGATATTGTAACTGTTACACTTTTGTCTGACTTGATTATTTACCTATTCCTTTTACCATCCTACATTTGTAGATCACCATAAGGAATTCTTGGGGGGTGTGGGTGTGGGTGTGTGTGTGTGTGTGTGTGAGAGAGAGAGAGAGAGAGAGAGAGAGAGAGAGAGAGGAGGA